CCGGCCCCTCCCGCCCCAGCTGTGGGCTTCACTCCGGTGACGGCCCCCGGCGCCCCTGCGGCTTAAAGTATGTCGTTTCTCCAGTGGAAGCTTGGAGATCAGAAAGGATGCGGCTGAGGGCCCCTTTCCCGTGTCTGAGACCGACTCACTGGCCCATTTAAGACCAGCCAAGTTAAGCCCAAAAGTGCACTTGGGCGTTTAACTGGCCAGATCCGGGGAGGAAGAGCTGAGTCAAAGGACGAGGAACTGGGAGCTAGAAGGAGGACTGGGGGCGGGGGGGTGAAGTCGGGCGCTTACCATTGGGTACGGGAACCCCAGAGCGCCGGCCCGGCTTCGTCCTCCGCCAGGGCAGCCCCCCCCAGGTCCCTGCACTTGGAAGGCGAGGTCGCCGATGGCAGAGCCGGCAGCCTCCCTCCCTGTCGCTCCGGGCGATGGTGCGGCGGTGTGTTCATTCGTGACCCTGACGAGTCTTGGACGCTCTTCTGTGGGATCGTGTTGGGAGATATTTCGTAAACGAGCCTGGACCGTGTTGTGTTCCTGAGAAGAAAAGTAGAGGTGGACACGAGATCTTGAAACTGGAAGTATCGTCTGTTAACGCTGTTAATAATAGAATATTAAGTTGTTCCGAGCAGGCCTGCAGTGGTGGAACTCACTTAACTTTGTTTATCTGGTGTTTCTCAAGCATTCTGGCCACAGGAACTTGAGTAGTACCCTATTAATGACTCTCCAATGTGGTTTTTCCCAGAACACATTTTGAGAAATGCTCCCATAGAGAAATCGTTCACCTGGGCACAGGCCTGCACAAAAGGCATTTCTGGCCTACTTTCGGGAAATAATCTGGCTGGATTTCAGTAAGGATAGTTTCAGTTTCTTGAATGTTCGAGAACATGGTCCATGATGAAGTGCCACAAACCATAAAACACTTGCAAAAGGAAATGAACAAAGTCTTGCCCTTCCTCCTACATACATGATGTCCAGTAAATAACATCTTAATTTTATTGAGCAGGCATTATCAATTTATAATTATTTATAAGACAATGGCAATAATTATTTGGAAAAATGTGGCTTGTGGAAACTCTCCAAGTAAGTACATTCAGGGATTCTTTTTTTAAATTTTTTTTGAGTTGGAGTCTCACTCTGTCGCCCTGACTGGAGTGCAGTGGCATGCTCCCGGCCACCGCAGCCTTGACCTGCTGGGCTCTGGTGATCCTTCCGCCTCAGCCTTCCAAGTAGCTGGAACTATGGGCATGCGCTACCACACCCGGCTAATTTTTTGATTTATTGTAGAGATGAGGTCTCGCCAAGTTGCCCAGGCGGGTCTCGAACCCTCAGGCTCAGGCAATCCACTCACCTCAGCCTCCCAAAGGCGCGGGATTACAAGCTGAAACACTGAGCCAGGCTCATTCAGGGATTCTTAATGACAAGTCTGGAAAATGTATTCATAGACTCCTAGATGGGCCTAGGAGATACAATTAATTTTTCTCACTGTGTAAATAGAATGTAGCTGGAAACCATTTAAAGGTGTTATATGTATGCACTAAATGACTTGCACTGGAATCTTGCTGTGACATGTAATACAATTTAGAACAATCATTGTCTTTTTTTTTTTTAAGAGGAGGAGTCTTGCTCTGTCACCACTCACTGCAGGCTCACTGGGCGTCAGCCATCTTCCCACCTCAGCCTACTGTGTAGGGTCTAGAGATGTGCACCACCACACCGCATCCTGAACATCTTTTAAGACAGCTTAGTTACTGAAGTACCAAATGAAATCCTTAGTAAGGTAGTTTCCCATGTTTGGCACAGCCCTCCTTCAGATAGAGCTAGAAGTAACTTGCTAGCGTTTTACTAAACGGCTGCAGTTTCGAACAAGACCTGCTGGGGATGACTGGATAACAGTATCTTGAAGTGTCCTTGCTCCAGTGTCTGGTCTTCCATTCCGTAGGCCCCAAAAGCTAGTTTCATTAGTTCACACGGAGGTAAGCTGCCTCCAGAAGATACACTAATGCTAACCAAACTCAAGGGGTTGACGTAGAAACCTAGAAGGTGTGTTAATTCCTTTCTAGTGAAAAGTATAACTTGCAGTCAGACTGGATGATTGTATTACCCTATAGTGTGTAGGAAGACTACACGGGAGACCAGATTCTTGCATTAACTCTATTGACACACATAGTGAGCATGGAATCAGAACAGGGAGAATGCTGTCCAGGCTTAATGGCATCGGGTGTCTTCAGTCTAAGGATGTGCCTGTCAAGCTGGCTAATTGTGGCTAAAAGGCACTAAAGGCGAGATGAGTCGTTTTGTCTCTCTTAGCATCCTTTCCATGTGAGCATATTCTTTCTCAGGCTGAAGTACAGTGCAGCTGGGCGCAGTTGCTCATGCCTGTAATCCCACATTTTGGGAGGCCAAGGCAAGAGGATTGCTTGAGCCAGGAGTTTGAGACCAGCCGGGGCAACATAGTGAGACCTTTTCTGTATTAAAAAAAACAAAATTAGCCAGACGTGGTAGTGCATACCTGTAGTCCCAGCTACTCGGGGAGCTGAGGCAGAAGGATCCCGAGCCCAGGAGGTTGAGGCTGTTGTGAGCTATGATCAAACCACTGCACTCCAGCCTGGGCAACAAAGTGAGACCCCCCCAACTCAAAAACCACAGTAAAGTCCAGTGCAATTGATGTGGTCTAAGCTTTTCCACATACAGGTGCTATGTAGCTGTACCTCTCAGAAGTTGTATCCAAGTCATCTAGCTTGGATTTGGGGTTTTCATGGACAATCTCTTGGGTCTTTTCTATAGATAACTGATTTTCTTCTATGTATTTGGACTTTCTAAAATTTGGACTTTCTATGTATTTGGACTTTCTGCGGGCCCTGAGTGACCCATTCAAGAACCAGGATATGTGTTGATCTATTTGATACTCTCTTTTCTCTGTGACATTGTACTTGATAGTAAGGTGAACTACACATAATTTTTTAATCAAATAATTCCACAAGACAAAATTATTTTGTCCATTGTGGAGACCTTATAGTTATCACTATTTTAACAGCTCTTAGATATTTTCTCCCCTTCTGATAACAAACCCCAGTGATGACTGGCTTGGCATATGTTTTATATGTGCCCCACAACAGCTGTTGTTTGACACTGATGATGGTTTGTTGTACTTGAGGAGTGGCCCTAGAGAGGAAGCACCAGGAATTCGAAGAACTCTTAGGGGTTTGCGCTCCGCAGAACTCACTTGTGACTAGTAAATAATGACATGGCACTCAAGGACCTGAGAACCTCAGGGCCCCATACTCCACTTGGGCAAGAGGGACTCAGGACAGAGAAGGTGGAAAAAGAAGACAACCGGGAGCAGAAATGCACCCAAGATGTCCTGTGTGGCATTTGAGCATACTCACCTCCTGGGCGATGCCAACAGCTCGTGGGATTCTGGGCAGACTCGAGCTGTGTCATGAAACGCTGAGTCCAGGAATTTATACAGAACGGTAGATACCAGAACTACTCATGCCACAACGGGTCCTGACTGCCATCCAGCAAGTGCAGAGGATGCTGTGATGGTGTGAAAGTTCTGGAGAGATGCAGGCTGATGCAGGATAGTGGGTGGGAGGCAGGATGGGAAGGAGGGCGGTAGGCTTGAACCAGCAAGCTAGAGCAAGATGTACAGCCCTGATACTGGGGAAAGACACTAAGATCAGTCTCTGCCAGGCTGGACTGGCCGTGTTCACCTCTCTGACTCTCAGAGTCTGCCCTACAGTTTACTGCCCCGGGAAATTGATGAAGACGCTGACGTCACCTTTTTTCTTGTATCCTTGGGGATACTGTGTTTTCTTCTAGGCCCTTCACTACAGTTCTGTGCTGATTCCTTTACAAAACCAGTGTTACCCACCCTCTTACAGGCCTCCTTCCATGTGTGTGAATGAAGAAGCTGTTGCTTCTAGAAGCAAGTGTGTGTCCTAAGCCAGTGGACACTTAGCTCAAGAAGAAAGCTCAGGACTCCCAGCTCTGCCTAAGCATTACAGGTAAGAAGCAGAGATTGAGACCAGAGTTGAGGTGAGAGGCTCTCAGATATGAAAATGGAGGACTCCGTCTGGTTGAAAAGGGAGGAAGGACCACAGTTCTCTCTGGGCAGAGTGCTCCCAGCCCCAGTCGTAGCACATGTCTTTGGTTCATGGTCATCCTGGGATCCCCAGAGCTTCGCGTGTGTGTTTCCTTCTTAGTACTCAGACACAGGTCTCCAGGAGGGTATGCATGGGTCACGCCTGCCACATCTTAGCCTTCACAGTGTCCTGAGGCCATGCTGGCTTTTGCCCCCCGGAGTCAGACTCGTACGTTCGGTCATGGCCTCCATCCCGCTGACCACCTGCCCCCATCCCCACTTAACCGACTACTGAAAATGGGGACGCCCCGCCCTCCCGGCAGGCCTCGGACTACCCCCCCTCACCACCACCCCTTCGTGTTGGACCTCAGGCTTCTTGAATTGGGCTTATCATAATTCTCAGTCCCTGGGACACGAGCATCTGTGTTCTACCTGCGACTCTTTCTGTGCATTTTATTCCATTTAGTATTTGGTAGCATCTGGAATACCCATGAACCAATCTGACCAGTAACTCGCACTCACCACCATGCTCCTTTCTGACCCGTCCAGACTCCCTGTCCTCAGGGGTCACCATGGTCATAAACTTTGTAAATATCATTCCCTTGCCTTTTTGGTTTTTGTTTTATCATGATGTTTATACCTAAACGGTATGTTGTGTCGTTTTACTTCTTTAAAACTTTTTCAAAAGGATGTCCTGTATTTTGTCTTCTAGCACTCACTTTTGTCACTCCACATTATGCAGCTAATATTAATCCATGTGGTGTGTTTAGCTCCAACTCACTCATTTTCACTGCTTGTATAGTGCAGTAGTGCTCTGATTATCCCCATCATCCTTTCCCAATTTTAGCTCCAAACCCTTTCCTAATTCAGTAAGGAACAGAAATCGCTGGGGCACTTTTGTGCTCAGGTTCACTCTATTAATCAAGCACTCAGACGAAACACGGTGAGCAAAGGGTTAACAAAACCCTTTCCACTACTGACTGAGAAGGTGACCCTCAGCTGACTTTACTGCTGAGTAATGAATATCCACAAAACTTAAAAACAGACATTTATTATCTCACAGTTTCTATGGGCAGGAATTTGGCGACATCTTAGGTGGTTCTGGCTCAGGGTCTCGTGCGATTGTCGTCAAGATGTCCACGAGGGCGGTGTTCGTCTGAAGCTTGGTTGGGGCTGGAGGATCCCCTTCCAAGACGGAGCGTTTACATGGCTGTTGGCAGGAGGCCTTCCTTCCTCACCACAGGGCCTCTCCACGTGACGGCTTGCATGTCCTCCGCATGGTGGCTGACTTCTCCTGGAATGAGTGTTTAAAGAGAACAAGGCAGAAGACGCGGTATCTTTTGTGCCCTGACCTCAGCAGCCACCATCATTTCCCCAGTAGCCTAGTGGTTTCGTGAGTTGGCCCCACTCAGTGTGAGAAGGCACAAAAACAGGGTGCAGGGACCGTTGGGAACCATCTTGAGCTGGCTACCGTAACTCTTTCTCTGTTCCCTTGGTAACCTATTAAAGTGGCATCTAAATTCTGTTGCCAGGCATGCTACTTTAGGTAAAAGTGACTCCTGACTTGTCAGCAGCATCTGGGAGGGTGATTATCCCTAATAGGAAGCCACAGCTTGGGCTTTCCTGATAGCAGTGTCTCTTAGAACTACAGGGATGCTGAAAGCTATGCCCATACAGTTGTTACAGGAAATATTGGCTCTTATGGGGACTAAGGCATTTAAGCAAGGCTGATTTCTACTTCCACCTGATGTGGCTCTCATCTCCCTGTGTCTGAGCAGTCACCTGGAGAAAAGTAAGCTCATGATCTGCTGCAAGAACACCCCTAGAAAAGGAACCTCCATGTCTTCCCTGCTGGGCATCTACATTTCCGTTCTATATTCTTCTGAGGAGATGGGTGTTGTGTGGTTTATGGAGGTCTTGTGAACCTAAACGTTTAGATGAAGCCCCCTGAGAAAACGCTCTGCTGGGTGATAGAACTGAATTTCATGCTAACACAGGAATGACAGATAACAGTATGGCAGACACACTTCCCTTTAAGATGTGAACAGTGTCAGTGAAGGATGCATGAACTGAAATGTTTGAGATATCAATGCAAGAAATCTATATTTGGGCATATGGCAGGTGTGTCGGGGTTTCCCAAGACCAGCCAAGATTCCCCAGGTTCCATGATTGAGTCAGCCCGTAGTTACACTCATGACTGTGGTTCATCGCAGTGAGAGGATACAAAGCAGACTGAGCAAGGGGAAAGGTGCAGGGGGCAGAGGCTAGAACTACCAGGTGCTGGCTTCCAAGAGTCCTCTCTCAATAGAGTTGCATAAGACATGCTTATTTTCTCCAGCAATATTATGACAAGTGTGAGATGTTGTCTAACAGGGAAGCTTATTAGGGACCCAGTGCCCAAAGTTTTTGTATAGGCTGGTCACGTGGACACCCTAGCATGTACCAAGATTCCAGACTCCCAGTGGGAAAGCAGGTGTTCAACATAAACCACATGTCTGCACAAACAGTATAGGTACAGTGATTCCTCCTATCAGGAAATCAGCAGCATCCTCTTAAAGTTCAAGTTCTCATAGGCCAGCCAAGGGCCAACTTCAGAAGCTGGCCTTTCTGATTATGGCGGTCTCGGACCAGCTGTGGTAACTCGCCCCTGCACAGTAGAAACTGTTGACTGTGGACCACAGAAGCTCGGGAAAGGCTTTAGAAGGAAATGACTCGGGGTGAGCCTTGAAAGCGGAAGAGATAATTGCCAGCTTGAAAGGAGGAGAAAGGGGGCCTCCAGCAGAGGGACCACCGTCAGCACAGTTGAGGACACCACATCTTAAGAGACTTGTGTAATCTGAAGGGGCTGACATGTGGGGAGGGCTGGCCCATGGGTGTGGATGACGACCACTGGCCTTTCAAGTTCCAGTCTCCTTATCAGTGAGGTGAGAGGGTTGGCCTGGGTGACCTCTGAGGTCCCTTCCAGCTCCTGCACTTCAGGGAAACTGGGAGCAGCTGAGTCACAGGGCGTCAGCAGCTGAGAAGACGTGGCTCGACCTAGAGAAATGGCAAGAGTTAGGCCCAGTCCAGACTTTCGCTGCACTTAACAGCTGTGTGGCCTGAGGCAATTTGCTTCTCTGCGCTTCCATTTACTTGTTTTAAGTTGCATACTGATAGTATTTTCTTCATAGAACTGTAAGGATTTATGAGACACTTCATAGAAACTTCTGGCAGAGAACCTGAATGAATGGTGACTGCTAAATTTTTTAACTTACTTTTTCTTTCCTATAATTAAGCTTAATTTAATTTAATTGTTGTGGCCCAGGCTAGCCTCAAACTCCTGGGCTCCAACGATCCTCCCAAGTAATGACTGCCAAAACTTTCATGTTCAGTCTTTCCTCCCAGACAGTCCAAGGTCTTGTTGCTGGACCAGCCCTCACCGTCCCAGGCCTTTGGAGTCCCCATCGCCACAGGAGGCTCAAGCACAGCTAGCAGGTGCGGTTGAAGGAAGGCCCTGCCACCCAGATCAGCCCCTTCTCAGAGCAGCTGTGAGTGACACCAGGACTCGCGGTCAGCGAGGGGAACTACCCACAGAAAGAGATGCTGGGGCAGTTGCGGAGAACGGGTCCCTCCTTCGGGGCAAAGGAAGCCAGCTGACTAGGAGACCTCAGCTTGGTCTGCTTAAGCAGAGATGTGCTGGATGCAGAAAGACACCTTGGCGAGAAGAAAACCAAGTCGCAGGCGGGCGATCAGGGGGGTCTGATGAAGTGTCTCCCAGGGGGACGTCACACACGCTTCCTGGAAGCCGTCTGCTGGAACAGCGAGTAGTGTTGGTGAGATGCCAAACTCTGCTTCTTGGAACACTTTAATGTTTTAAAATGTGTGTATCACATTTTGTTTGTAAAGATGTATTGATCTGTACATGTCTTTTCTGAATGAATGTCATTGCAGTTAAAAATCTGGGCTCGGTGGCTCAGCCTGTAATCCCGCGCCTTTGGGAGGCTGAGGTGAGTGGATTGCCTGAGCCTGCGGGTTTGAGACCCGCCTGGGCAGCGAGACCTCATCTCTACAATAAATCAAAAACTGAGCCGGGCATGTTAGCGTGCGCCCGTAGTTCCAGCTACTTGGAAGGCTGAGGCGGAAGGATCACCAGAGCCCAGCAGGTCGAGGCTGCGGTGGCCGGGAGCGGCCACTGCACTCCAGTCTGGGCGACAGTGAGACTCCAACTCAAAAAAAAAAAGTATACACACGACATAGTAACCAAGGCCGTTTTACTTTGGTCCCCCTCACCTTCATATGTTAACTCGATTGAGTCTTTCAGGCCCTTTGGCCTCACTCCATGAGATGTCACAGTGTTGCCCAGTTTATGACTAAGAAGGGTTTGAATAGGGAAGGGGGATAAGAGAAAGGCCACATATTTTGGCCAAATATAATTTTTCTACTAACTGTATAAAACAAGCAAAGTTTTTAAAAATTATTTCCTGGCCAGAGGGAATTCACTGTCAGTAAGTCTTCAGAATTAAAATTCCTATTCAGAAACATGGAAATGCAGGAAGGAATGAAGACTACCAGAAAGGATTAATATATGGGTAATTATTAATGAACATGAAGTGTCAACCCGACAGTTATACTGTCTTATGGAATGTAAGTACATGTACAGAATTGCAAATGTAGGATACTACCACGAAATGATGATGAGGATAAATGAAACTAAAGGTTCCTAAAGCTTTAGAAGATTTGGGAAACTGGTAAGAGTAATAATTTGTATTAGCCAGAAATAAGTCAAGACTGCATGCTGTTTAATCTCTAGGGTAATAGCTAAAGGAAAATAATATATAGCTGACAAGTTTGAGGTAGAAAATAAAATAACAGAAAATATTTTATTAATACAAAAGAAGCCTAGGCATGATGTTCCAGTGATTTTGGAGGCCAAGATGGGAGGATCACTTGAGACCATAAGTTTGAGACCAACCGGTCAACATAATAAGACCCCATTTAGCGGGATGTGGTATCTCATACGTGTAATCCTAGCTCTTTGGAAGGCCGAGGCAGGTAGATGGCTTGAGGCCATGAGTTAAAGATCAGCCTAAGCAACATAGTGAGACCTCATCTCTGCAAAAAAATCAAAAAAGTAACCAAGCATGGTGGCACATTCCTATAGACCCAGCTACTCAAGAGGCTGAGGTGGAAGGATCACCTGAGCCCAGGAGATCAAGGTTGTGGTGAGCAATGATTGCACTCCAGTCTGGGTGACAGAGTGAGACTCCAACCCCAAAACAAAAAACCAAAGACACCATCTCTACAGAAAAAGATTGTGAAAATTACCTGGGTGTGGTGGCACACACCTGTAGTCCCAGCTACTCAGGAGGTTGAGACAGGAGCATCACCTGAGTCCAGGAGTTGAAGGCTTCAGTGAGCCATGATCATGACACTGCACTTTAGCCAGGGTTACAGAGTGGGACCCTGTCACAAAACGTAAAAGACAAGAAAGAAGAAAAACAGAAGGATCAAATAGAAAACAGAGGCTGGGTGCAGAGGCTCATACCTATAATTCCCAGCAATTGGGAGGCCAAGGTGAGAGGATTGCCCGAGTCTACGGGTTCAAGACCAGCCTGGGCAACTTGGCGAGACCTCATCTCTACAATAAATCAAAAATTAGCCGGGCATGGTAGCGCACGCCTGTAGTTCCCCCTACTTGGAAGGCTGAGGCGGAAGGATCGCCGGAGCCCAGCAGGTTGAGGCTGCGGTGGCCGGGAGTAGCCAACTACACTCCAGTCTGGCTGACGGAGTGAGACTCCAACTCAAAAAAATTTAAAAATTTTAAAAATTAAAAAGAAAACAGTGGGAAACCCCTTCAGGTCCCCTCATTGTGGGAGCTTTTCTGTCCTCTCAATAAATCCTGCTTAAAAAAAAAAAGTAGAAAACAGTAACATACCAAACTTTATCAGTAATTACTTTACATTTAAATGAACTAAGTAATCCAAATAAAAAACGGATTGTCAAACTGAATAAGAAAGCGAAACCTAACTATATGCAACTTCTCAGAAAGAAACTTTAAATACTGGTGACAGATGATTAAAGCAAAAGGGTGGAGAAAAAGATTATAAAATTCTAATGGGAAAAAAATTGGTATATCTGAATCAATACTTTAAGAAAAACAGTACTAGAAATTCAAAGATATATATCATAATGGGCAAATCCAATAGGTAGATATTAAATCATAGACGTGTGTACTCAATAACATAACTTCAAAATATATAAAACAAAAATAAACAACTCAAAAGAAAAACCCACAATCATAGAGGAAGACTATAACATACATTTATCAGTATCTTATTGAAAGGAGGTACCGTGTAAACTAGTACAATCTCTGGAAAATAGTGTGGCGATTCCTCAAAGATCTAAAACTCGAGCTTCCATGCGACCCCGCAATCCCCCTACTGGGAGTATACCTGGAATCACTCTATAAAAAAGATACCTGCACACATAGGTTTATTACAGCATTGTTCACAGTAGTAGGAACATGGAACCCACCATGCTGCCCATCAAAAGAAGGCTGGATTTTTAAAATGTGGCACATACACACAATGGGATATTACATAACCATAAAGAAGAACAAAATCATGAACTTCACTGCACCCTGGATAGACTCAGAGTCTGTGATACCGAGGGATCTTTCACAGAAACAACTGAGTATCACATGTTCTCACTCATAAGCGGACTTTTGAACAGTTACCTAATACTATACGAAAAGGATCGGCAGTAGTGGGACGCTGCCGGGAGGGGGCGGGGAAGCAGGACTGACCGTCGTGGGAATCTGCTGGGGAAGGGGGCAACACCTCATCAGCAAAGGTGCCTGCATAGTGAACATTTGTGTAGCCCCCAATCGTGCCCCTTATCTTTAAAATAAATTTTTTTCAAAAGGAGATACCTATAGAAACCTAGAATAAACTTAGTTTATCATAGTCTTTTTGCCTCAGCATAGCCACTTTTGCTTAGACTTTACCCCTGACACGTTTTGAATCTAGCACAGGTCAGATAGATGAGATACGTTTCCAAAAGGCAGGTGTTAGGAGGCATTCAGCTATTTCACTGCAGGCCAAGCCGGCCCCCACAGTGGTCAGGTCGCGGTATTTGCAGTACATGTTTCATCGCGCAGCCAGATGCCGAAGTCCTTCACTGGCAGGGGCGACTCCTGAAACCCCTGCCGGCAGTACACGATCTCCCCCGAGGGCTGCTGCTTCTTCAGTGTGCCCGAGGCCTTCATGGCGCCCTCTCCACGCTTGCGGCCACCCGCAGAAGGGCAGAATTTATTTTTTTAAGTGTCCATGAAACATACCAAAATTAATCATATAATGGGCACTGAAAAAAAGCCTCAACAAATTTCAAAATATTGAAATTATTCAGAGAATGTTGTTTGATCAGACTGGAGTTAAGTCAGAAACCAATAATAAGAGAATTTCTACTGCCTGGAAATTAAAAATATATTTCCAAATAATCATAAAGAAATTCAAACAGATATTAGAAAGTATTTTAAACTGAATGTGACAAAAGGCAACTTGTGAAAACTCATGGGATGCAGCTATATAGGGCATAGAGAGATGCATAACCTTAAAAATATATACTAGAAACATGGAAGGATTCAAAATCAATTATTCTATCTTAAGAACAAACAACAGCAAATTCTATCTAAGGAAAATAGATGGGAATAAATAATAAAGATTACAAATCAATAAAATCGAAAATAGCGGAGAAAATCAACAAAATCAAAAGTCGGCTCCTTGGACATATTGTTTAAGTCGATAGACTCCAAATAATACTGATCAACTACAACAAAAACAACACAAATTGTCAATGTTAGAAAGGGATGTCACTACTGTCTTTACACCCCAAAATGGACAATTTGGATGAAATTGGCAAATTCCTTGAAAAAATGCAACTTTATGAAGTCCACTAAAGAAAATCTGAATTTCCAAGCTCTAATAAATAAATCTATTATTTAAGAACTTTTTACAACATTTTCTACTTCTCCCAAAACTCCAAACCTGGATGTTTTCATCAGTTAATTCCTCCAAATAGTTAAAAAAAATAATACTAATCTTGCACAAACGCTACCAAAAAATAGAAAAACAGAGTTTTGTTCCCTACTCTTTGTATGTGGCCAACATAAACTTAATAGAAACACTGAACTGAAGTATCACAAGAAGAAATGACAGACCCAGCTCAATCATCATAGTATAACTTACAAAATAAACATTTGGTCTTTGTCCCAGGTTCCTAGCAGCTGGCTCCTAAAACGCTTGGAATCTCCCCAATGACAGGTGTTTTTTGTATGCTAATGAGATGGCTGTTGGCTGGAAGCCTCTAGTTAGCTTCAGGGTGGGGGTGGGAGGCCACCAGAAAGACCTGACAAGATTAGAGGGTTAGAACTTAACACCCGACTTCTGGGGAGGCAGGACGGATGAGGGGCCTAGACCAATGACTTCATGGGGTCATGCCTATGTAATGAAACCGCCATTAAAACCACTAAATAGCCAGGCTCGGTGGCTCAGCCTGTAATCCCATGCCTTTGGGAGGCTGAGGTGAGTGGATTGCCTGAGCCCGCGGGTTCGAGACCCGCCTGGGCAGCGAGACCTCATCTGTACAATAAATCAAAAAATCAGCTGGGCGTGGTAGCGCATGCCTGTAATTCCGGCTACTAGGAAGGCTGAGGCGGAAGGATCACCGGAGCCCAGCAGGTCGAGGCTGCGGTGGCCGGGAGCGGCCACTGCACTCCAGTCTGGGTGACAGAGTGAGACTCCAACTCAAAAAAAAAAAACCAACAGAAAATAACACTAAATGATAGGGTTCATCAGGGCTTGGTGGCTCAGCCTGTAATCCCGCACCTTGGGAGGCTGAGGTGAGTGGATTGCCTGAGCCTG